TCCAAACTTCAAACTTCAATTTGAGCCTCCTTTCTCCACTTTGAAACTTCAAACTTCTGTCATTAAAAAAAAATACTTCAAACTTGGAATTACAAGAGTAAGAATCTATTATCTCTCGCAAGTGATTTTCTGAGCCAAATAAAAAAACCTCAGTTGAAAATTTTCAAAAAAATAAAAACCCAGTTGAAAGACTGGATCCAAATCCTCACCAGTGCTTGCAAGAGTGAACTGAAGAAGAACCTATGTTTTACCTCTAAATATTAAATCGAAAGGCATGGAGAATATAAAAAAACATTCCCACACCACTGCATGCGGCTTTGGGAATGAGTATAGGGACATTAACTTATCTTTTTATTATTATTCTGAGTTTGCACTCTTAGTTGAGATGTTTATACCAGAATTTCTTCAGTCATGTGTGATTGTTAGTGGAAGCGCAGCAGGTTGTCTTAATTTTGATGTTAGGCTGCTTTGTTATTGTAATAGTCATTTGTGGCTAATGATTTTAACACAAAGCTCGCATGTCTCAAGGCGATGTGGTTAGGCACGATGGTGCCGGAGGCAACACAAAGCTCGCATTGTGACAAGGCATTGTGGCTAGACATGAGCAGAAGCGCCGGTTGATGGCTGGGTGCCTAAGGCATCGCTCGCGCTAGTTGATGGCTGGGTGCTGAAGGCATCGCACAAGTTATATGATGAAGATTGTATGGGTGCCGAAGGGCACTGAGGAAGAGGAGAACGACATAAGCCTTTTGTATCAATTCCCACAGACGGCGCCAAACTGTTGATGCTCAAAATGGTTGGGCCAAGATTGAGTCCAACTTAGTGATGAGGTGTGATGGATGATGAATGAAGGTGAGGACCTTAAGCATGTGTGTAAAGACTTGGGCAAGCGATAAATGTAAAGAAGACAAGATATACGTGGTTCACCCTTAATGAATGGGCTACGTCCACGGAGAAGTATTCTCTCATTATAATAGTGTATGATTACATTTGTACATAGGGTTGGACCTGAATATAAAGATGACAAGTGAGATGCCCCGGCCAGGGATCTAGGAGAGAGACCCCGGCCCTAGGGTCTAGCTTTGAGACCCGGATCCTCTTCTAACTGGAGAGATGAAGTCCCTTTTTCACATGGATACTACTCCCTATTTATAAAGAGGTGAAAGTGAGAGGTTTGTGTAGATTTCCAATGTGGGACTTTGTGCAAGTCACTGTGGTGGTGACACGTGTCTGCCTTGGTGCTAGTTGTTTTGAGGCTGGATATGCTCGGTTGATTATGGTGTAAACAATTGTAATAGTCATTTGTGGCTAATGGTTTTGTTGACTGAATTATGAATGCAATCCTAGAATTTCTCTACCAGAAAAAAATAAAAGACGTAGCATGAGACACCATAAAGCAACACGTAAAATGCGCCAATGAAGACTAGCTTAGAGGAAAATAGCCTTAATTTGCAAATCATTGGTCTCAAATTCGAACATTGATGACAAAAAAATCCCCTTCTCCAATATCGCTTATATATAAACAAATTAAATAAATAAATTGAGACACGGTGCCGCTTACAAGCAAACCAAGGTGCCTATTAAACAACTCGTGCGTAGATCCTTCTCACAGTTCTCATTTGCTTCGCCTTAAATTGCAAATTCCATGTTAATTCTCACTGCTCTTCATGGTTCATTTCTAAATGTACGTAGCTTCCACGAAAGGTCCACCCTGATTTAAAGAAAGAAGGAACCTATATAGCCGAATATACGTCAATTTTACAATTAGTCCAAGCCGCGACATCCGCCTAATTTGCCCAAGCCGCATATTGGTCCAGTGGGACCCCCAATTTCTGTATAAATTTTTGCCGAAGTCGCATTTTGGTCCAGTAGGACCTTAATTTCTGTATAAATTAATTTCTCCCACACCATTAGATTTCTCAAGACAGGTCTTAGCAACAACGCAATTCATCAATTTTTTTTTTTAGGTTCGGAGATGATGATCAATCCTGATCGCAGTTGCAATGTCACCTACATCATCAACAATCAGCCGCAGTACTTCATGAACTATTCAGTTGTACTACAAATAATGCCTGATGCTTCCAATTCGACTACGTCGTATTCTAGTTGTTACAACCAACAGGACATTTTTGCCTTCACCATTCCAACACTCCTGACGTTGGTCCAGATGAGATATCCAGCCGTAGATCTCTTCCGAACACACCCTACGGCCCTCACCATTTTGCTGTCTGGTTTGGTTGCATACTGCTTCGCGCGCCTTCAGTTTTGGTGATCATGCAAATAAATGGAGCCGCCGCAAGGCCATGCTTGTGTTTGGTTCACTCTCAAATGCTTCACTCTAGTGGATTCTATTTTTCTCACACTCCTCCTCCTACCTAACTTTGTGCTTCTTGTTATTTCTGGTGGTGGTGCTGGGCTTTGACCGTTTGATTCGGAAACTATGGCAAAGCATCCACCAAGAATTACGAGTGGCACAAATTCGCATTAGCCGGAGGGCATGCCCGCTTTTGCCAATGACCTCAATGAATGTATCACACAGACAAACTCTATAGTCAAGTGTTATTCTCTCTCGTCTGGATTAGGACTTACATAATTTCATAATTAACTTCATTAATCCCATATCATATGAAAGAATTGAGATAAGAGTCAGAGAAAAAGTTAGTGCCTAGTGCATGTATTGTGGTCCTACTATTTAGTGTTTTAAAGAGTCCACTGCTATATATGTACCATTAGTCCATCCATATTCATTTTTGTCCTACCTCTATTAGCATGAGATTCATATATATGTTATGAAACCCAACGTTGCCATACTGGTGTACATTATAAATTGTTTAGTTTCTTACTCTCACTTCTCTCCCAATTTCATTCTCTAAGATAATACTTCGATTTCGCTATTCGCACATTCCAAGACTACTTGTATTTTAAAAGTGAATTTTCAAGAATCCTCTAGCAAACTCAATTGTGTTGAAGTTTCTACTTTAACCATATCTTTGTAGTGGCTCTTTTCTCTGATCAGGATGTCGATGATAAAGGAAAATTTTATACATGAGATTTTGGGTCGTTATACAGCAATTGAAACGTCAATGGTCGTAATTTAGTGCTTCTTGATTTTGTGTGTGTGTGTCTTTTTTGCCAATATTGGGTTTGTGTGTTAAATGACTAACAAAGAAAATTCTTAAGCAAAATGACTCATCTGCGCAAAACTCAGAAAACTAACGAAGTAAGATAATGGTGAACTATGGTGAAAGAGACATGATGATCCTTGTAATAAATAACTGGCTTTTCAACGTTTGTGTGGGTGGTTCACATGCGAAAAAACATTGACTAATTGTTCTGACCAAAATTTATTTTATTTTATTTTATTTAAAGGTTTAGAGTTTAAGTCGAACAAACAAGGGTTAATTTTTTTGGCCCTCTTATTGGTTTTTGCTTCTTTGTTAAATATTACCTTAGTCTCTTAGAGCAAGTCCACCCTTGCTTCAAAACCGGGCAAAAGGCAGCTCAGGGGGGAAGGAAGCAGCTCCAGCGCGCAAGGGCTAGCCCTGGCAAGAGCTGGGTCCCACGAGCCTAGGCAAGCCCACGGGAAAATTCAGCCCGAGTTTTTGCCAGGGCAAACTGATGCAATGCTGACGTCAGCAACCCAAAAAAAAAGAAAAAAAAAGGAAAAAAAAACCAAAAAATCCAGAATTTTTTTTAAATAAATACCTAGGCATATTCTTTACTTCCCACACCAAAAACTATATACAAATTCATCTCCTCATATCTAATATGAATAGTATTTGCCTTAGACTTGCCCTAGACTTAGCTCTCATGGGTGGAACCACAAATGCAAAGGTTGACACTATTTATATGAATAGTGGCAGCCCTTGCTTGCCCTTGCCTTCGACTTAATCCTTGTAGGTGGAAGTGCTCTTATTGGCCATCCACAATCTCATGTGCCACAAAAGTCATTCACTATTGGCAAACCATAAAACCATTTGTCATTTGTTGGAAAAACATAAAATTATTTTTATCATTTCAATCAATCATATTGTGTATATCACCTTTCTAATAAAATTAAGATTGATTTATGCGGGATTCATTTTATGTTGGTAATGTATTTATTTGAAAGACACTCACAAAATGTTCAGTTAACATGACACAAATAACAACACTCGTTAAATTAACATAGTGCAACATGATTAACTATCCTTGTGTCAAATCCATTAAGGTCACATGTCCTTCTGTCACGGTTTTGTCCCATCACCACCACCAACGAGGACAACGAAATGCACAAGATTTTTTTATTTTTTTATTTTTTTATTTTGTCGGTCAAATTCAGCTTTCAATAAAAGAGCCAAAAGCTGGAGAGGCACAACAGAGAAGAACAAAAAAGCAGAAAGCAACAGTAGTACACCAAGGCTAACCACGTGGCTCAGAAACTTACAAACCATGACCCAAGCAAAGCAAAAGCACTAACTTGGTGGCCCAGGCGGGCCATCTAGCTCGGTGGTTTAGTTATTTTCTTTAATTTATTTGTAGACTTTGTTTGCTTTGCTCCTTCCAGGAATATCGCATTTAGATTTGCGTTTTTATTTATTCCTTTTGTAATCAGATAATTATAATTATGTGGCGAGAGAATGAGAAAATGAATATACATGTAGCAGGTAAGTATCTCTTGGACTACAAGCTCCACAAATAATATTGTCGTATTATTTCATAGTAAATTATAGGACACTTAAGAATATTAAGTTTCATAATATTGTTGCATTATTTCAACATCGATACATTGGTCCTCCGATGAATAGAGAAAATTTTGAGTTCAATAACACCTGACATGTGACATGGTGTTATCAGTTTACCTTTGTAACATGTATATATTTATTAGTATTATATTTTAAAGTATGAACCTTTCATACCAACTAGCTTGGTCTATAGGCCGCAAGTTTATACTTCTACGAATTGCTCCAAAAAATAAAAATACAGGTGAATTAGTAACACCTCGTGACGATATTATGAAATCATTCATTCACTCGAATGATATATTGGGGCCCAATATTGACTATCCTCTCTGGTCGCAGCAAAAGTGGGCATGTGGTGGTCACCAGTTTCCGGAGCAAGGCCAGCAGCAGCAGCAACTGAGCTACCCACAAAATGTAAATGAGAGGCTGCCAGGAGGGGTCATGGGGAAATAAAATGTAGAGAAGTGAAGTAACCGAGACTGAACCAAACAGCCTCATGGCCATAGGGCACCAGAAATGAGCATATGCAAGATTTTGTCCACGAGCATAATGTCTTATACTTAGCACCCACAAGCTGAAGGCCAAGCAATAAGCAAGCAAGCTAGACCGCACAACGCTCATGGCCATAGGGTGTGTTCGGAAGAGATCTTGATAAGCTGGATATATGATCTGGACCAACGACAGGAGTGTTGGAATGATAAATGCAAGAATGTCGTGATCATAGAGTGTGTTCCTCAACTGCAGGTTGTTGAACAAGTAAATGACATTGAAATTAGGGTTAATATTCATCCCAATATTCAAAACATAAAAATGATTAACTGCAGCCATCGAATTATCTCGTTTTGGTTAATCACAAGAAGAAATGGCCAATTTATAAAGAAATTGTGGGTCCACTAATCATCCTAGGCTATCTTAGTTTTTGCCCTTACTATTAGAAAAATGGAGCAAAATGATACCGATTCTACTGCTTTACAAATCAAGCACATTGACGTCGACGTAATTATTCCATTTTTGTGTTTTCTATGCTGTGAAAACAACATGAGACTTTCTTGTGCTGGCCTACCTCTCATTTGATATATATATATAGAAAATGTTTTGACTTTATTGTGCTGGCCTACCTTTGATTTGGCATATATAGAACATATTCTGAGTTCTACAGTTGCATTGCAATTTGCAGATTATATAGTTTTTGCAAATTCAAATTCAACACAAACGTAAGACCTTAATTCAATAAAATGTCATTGTGATGTTCGGTTGCTTGTGGTAACATAAGATCTATCGCCGTATTGTTTTCTGGCTTCAAGACCTATGGTTGACGTGTCCTCCAAGAATTGCCTAGTTTTCTGGCTTGAAGACCTAACTAAGAGCATTAGTTGGTTGATGTGTCTTCCAAGAATTTGCACTTAGAACTAGACGGAGACTAGTGCAGAAAATGGTGCTTTGCAGTATAATTCTTGTTGTTGGTTTTTAGTCTAAAATTATATGTTAGGAACTGCATGGATTTATGTATGAAATGAGTTGAGACATGATATGTTGCTCTTAAATCAACAAGCAACTGTGATGTACTAAATGTGCGTGGGATTACCAAAGACTCATTGTTAATCAAGAACTCAAGCATATCTCGACCAGCTTTTATACAAGTGTTTGGATGTAAAAGCTGATAGGTTCCTAGTTCTATAAGGATTGACATTCATTGTTCTATTGCCACTACAAAAAAAAACGAAGAAAAAAAAGGGTCTTTTGCGACAAACTTTATTCAATGGCCCCTAAATATCATCGGAAAAGGTCCTTTTTTCGACTTAAAAACGTTGGCCGTTGGAAATATGTCAATATGATGCATTTTATTTCCGACTTTGAATGTACCCTCGGAAAAAGTCTCCATGGATGTCGGAAATACATTGTTTTTAGACGGGAAGCCTTGGTGCCATCTGTATTACAGACAAAAGGCATGGGCGTGGGAATTGTAATGGTTATTTCTAAGGGGCTTGTTTTGCCCTAGGAAATAGTCACTTATTTCCGAAGGAAAATATGTCTTCTCGGTAATGAGTCTATATTTCCAAGGGCAATTATGTGCTGTCAGAAATAATTGCATTTTACCGACAACATGTTTTGCTTGTCGAAAATAGTTGTCAATTTCCGACGAATAATTTTTGTTGTCGGAAGTAAATTTTCATTTCTGATTGCAATGAACCGCTGTAGAAATAGTTTTTATTTGCTATGGCATATAACTGGAATTGGAAAAAGTCGTCGAAAAAGTTAATGCTTAATTTCTAGTGTGAATAAAAATATCACAGAGTGTGCATATATGTTATCAGGGGCGGATCCATGTGGGGACAATGGTGGTCAATTGACCCCCAGAAGCCGGAAAAAGCCATGGAAGGCAAGATGGTTGACCCCATAGATTGTTTGGTGGCTGGGTAGGAATGCCTATCATTTGCTCCAGTAAATGAAAGAGAAGACCTGTATTTCCACAACATATGAGAAAATACACCACTGTTTTAGCTTTTAGTTTCATACACACGGTGGATTACATTTAACTAGGAACTAGACCAGCCTACCCCTTCGTTTCTCTTCCCATCTCAAACCAAGTTCCAAAGATTCCACCTCCTCTAATCTCTTTCTCTAATAACTACACATCTTCCCAGGCTTCCAAATTGTAATAACCTCCCTATTCTATAGTGTTATTAATGATATATAACAAAATTTTAAATTGTCTTTTATATCAAAGTGTATAAACACTAGATAGTTAGTTTTTAACAATTGTTATTACACTTGATATTCGAAAGGTTTACACCTCAACGATTCATATGGAATTATGGTAGAAGGGGTACAATGTGAGGATATAATGGGTCTAAAAGATGAATTCAGAATGGGTCAGTTCTACATGAATTAGAATATCACCTCCCACCCAAGAATTGAATTCCTCCAAAATCAGGAATACTTATTTAAAATAATATGAAGTTCTTTACACTTCCCCGTTGGCAATACTTATTTAAAATAATGTACATTTTGATGCCGCAAAAATTAAAATTTTTATTTATTCTCCAATAAAATCACCTTAGCTCATGTTTTATCCTTTATATGTTATTACACATATTGCATCTCCTTGACTGCATGCATTAAGGATTCTCTTCGTGTTTCTTAATAGGTAAGACACATTGAGGAATGCATATAAATAGGGGGCTCCCTCCTTAGTCGATGACATACAACTCATAAAGTAATGCACCCCATCTGAAACTTGAGACTAAGGCATCGACTCTAGGAGAAGAACTCTCTTATGTTTACTTAGTGCTCGTTTGGTATTGCTTATTTGGAGTGATAAGTGATTTTTTTTATAATTTTGGGAAGCCCAGCCCTGTTTGGTAAACTATGAGAAAATCACTTATTGTTAAAAATTGCTGTAAGAGAAAGCTATAAGGGAAAGCAGCTAATAAGGTGCTTTCATTTTTTGATTATGCAATAATCAGTTTCGAAAAGGCGTTGGGTTTAATGATTATACGGTAATCATTTTTTGATTATGCGAGAATTAGTACCAACAACACTTTTAACAAAAAGTTTACCAAACGCCAAACTACTTTATCTAACAGTTGATTTTTCACACAGCAAATCTGACAGTGATTATTTCCACAGCACAGCAATGCCAAACTGGCCCTTAGGCTTTTCAACTGCATGGCTAGTGTTTGATATGTTTATAGCTTATGAAGTTTACACCACTAGCACTATACCTCAGTTTATACTTTCTCTCTTCTCCAATGATATCGACTGACTTATATCTTGCCACATATAGATATATACAAAGAAAAATACACATAAAATATGTATGTGTTTTATTCAATAAAATTTTTGCAAATTACAACTTAAAAGTTTGGCCGCTAAAATTTTAATATAATCTATTTACATTTTTAAATATATATTATTTTTATTCAATAATATGTGAGAATTATGTGTATAATACGTGAATTTTGTGTGTCTTATTGAAAATTTTATAATAAAAAATACATGTATTAAACATGAAAAATACGAGTAGTGTACGTTTGCTTTTTAAAAACTGCGAATTTTACCGAGCCTTTAAGACGTGTACAGAACACGGATGTATTATTGAAAAATACGTACGTACGTGTATAATACAGTATTCAATGTGAAAGTGCTAAATTCTTTATATAGGTAAGATCTGTGGAAAAGTAAAAAATCAAAAAGGGACAATAGAGACTTGGGTAATGACCTAATAGTAATGGATAATACTCTAAAATACTCTTATCGATAAACAAAAATCGGGAAAAAAAAAGAATCTCAGCATATATATATATATATATAATATAGCCATGCGGCTATACTATTTTCAAAATTAAAAAACTAAAAAAAGAGTATAGCCGTGTGGATGTACTATTTATAAAAACACAAAAGAAAGAAGACCCGGCTAGCGCTTAGGCGCCCACGTGTCAAACCAGTATAGCCAGGCGTCTATACTATATTTTTTTAAAAAACGGTAGTATAGCCGCATGGCTATACAATTTTTTAGCAAATTAAATAAAACTGTAGAATAGCCGCACTGCTTTACTATTTATTTATATAAAAAAAAAAAAAAAAAAAAAATAGTGCTAACGTGTAAAAACAATATAGCCGTGCGGCTATACTATTTTTTATTATAAAAAAACATAGTATAGCCACATGGCTATGCTAAATGTAAAAGTGCTAAATTCTTTATATCGGTAATAATTGTGGAAAAGTAAAAATTAAAATGGGACAATAGAGATTCGGATAATGACCTAATATAAATGGATTATACTATAAACTACTATTATCAATAAACGAAAATCAGGGGAAAAATTTATTTAAAAAAAAGGATCCCAGCATATATATAAAAACTATAACCGATTGGTTATACTATTTATTAAAAAAAAAGACCCAACTGGTAGATCTTGTTACAACTAGGGAAATGACACGGCCCCACTCAACAAATTAATATATAGATGAAATTAGGTTCATTTACTAGTGCTCTGTCATTTGCAATGTAACAAGTTTCATTTTATTTGTCTATGTCATGGGTATGACTCATATGAGTTATCAGTGTTAATGGTGAGGATCAGGGATAAACTATATGGTGGTAGTGCATGTATTTGTAGTTGTTTTTTTCCAACTTTGAAATTAACAGGGTTTAGGTCATCTTCAAATTTTACTAAGAAACCTCTGCCAATTTCATTAACCTATCGAGATAATATTGATATAATTGCTACATTAATAATGTTATTTGAAAGCATTTCTCATTTCTACATATCTTACAAACTTTTCAATAATACAAACAAAATTCACTTATTTCTTCGATGACATATATTACAAATTGTAAATAAATTATATTAAAATATTATATAGTGGCTGAACTTTTCATGTATACTTTTCATAAATTTTGCCAAAGACAACACATGTATTTTCAGGGGCAGATTCAGCATGGGACCAGTGTGCCCGCTCCTTTACCTCTTCTATTTGTATATTATATATGATATACAATATTATAATATATTAGATTAGTTTTTGGGATATTTACCCTAAAATAAAATATATATGAGGTTCTTTTTGTCTACAAATTAACCATAAAATTTCTTGATCTCCCTTATACTCATTTCCCTCAAATCTTCTAGGTTAGTTTCTAATTTCTGCACTAAAAACTCCTATATAGTTTTAACCTTCTTTTTCTTCCTTTCTTCCTCTTCCTCTTTTGTTTAAAGCTTTGTAAATTTTTTATTTTCCTCATTTTTATGCATGAGTTGAGTACCTTAATATAATGCTTTATGAACTCTCTTTTTTTCTATTTCTTTTCTCTCTTGGAATATAAATTAATAATTTTTAAGTCTTTAATAGTTGTAGATGATGAAATTAGTATTTAACCAATTTAAAATATGAAATTCATGATAATTATGAAGAGAAGACAAATATTATGAAGGACCCCCTCTAATGTGAAATTTTGATTCCACCACTGCATATTTTATTCATACTTTTTCAGTTTTGTATTTACTATAACTATGGTGGGTAGATCAAGACTATTGGCATGTGTCCCATTCACTCACAGTCACAGCAATGATCTGATCGTCGCATAATGAATCGCTAACAAGATAAATAGCGAGTTAAACCCCCTTGTTCTGTTCTATGTTTTAAATAATAGGTGAAGATGTCTTGCAGATTCCAGACAACCAACTGTTTGTATCATTTGAGGTTTACCAACTTTAATTACTCAAATCCCTTTGTCGTTTTCGTATCCTAAAGAAATTTCGTCTTGCTTTAGATTTGGGTTTTGTCTGCCTAAACCCCTTTGCTTTGTTTTTGGCAATACTAAGCATGATAAGGCCTTTGTTATAATCAACTATAAGAACATAAGACACATCGCCAAGTAGACACAGCTAAAAGGGATTAGTTGGTTGATGTCTGGTTCCTAGGATTTTGCTATTAATTAGAACTCAATCTATCCAGCAAACTGTTCGGCGCACGTGTCAATATCATTCTTATATACAATGACATAATTTTTGAACCATGTCATATTTTACATATTAACTAAGATTAAAGCCATTGTGAGTTGGGTATCGTCCACGGATCCGCCTCCACTCATATAAGCAGAGGTTTGAAATTCCTAGGCACTAGTGAATATTTGTGTAAATCCCCCTCCCCCAATTGTTTGCACTAATTTTTATTTTTATTTTTAAGCCAATTGGAATGTCACATTGGCTTGCCTAGTTGTCAACAAGAAGTATATATAAAACCTACATTCTCTGGTAGACTGTTCTAAGCACTACCTTTAACCACAATGTCTAAACAGCAAAATTGGCATTATCGTTGTCGTTGTTGTTGGGTTCATACTTGATAATGTTAGTAGCATAGCATTACTGTGCATTTAAATATATAATTATTTTAAAACAACATTATATGAGTATAAATTGAGAGTAAGATATTATTAATATTAACATATTATTCTATTTATACCAGTTTGACCTAGCTAGACAGCTGAAATCCCAATGTTTACAAGAGAAAACTCCTCGTACATGAAAGTTGTATATGAGGGAAACAAATCCACATTGCTATTATACAATGAGTCTATCAGAAGTTAACTACATGATGCTCAGCTTGAAGGTCGTAGGTCCATTGTGTTGTGTGTGGATGGAGGAGAAAGCGAGGTGAGGTGGGAGGGAAACCGAAATGAATAAAGAGAAACTATTTTGTCTTTTAATTTTTTTAAATTTTTTGGGTTAAAATTGAAATTGATAAATATTTTGATGTGATGAGATGACCTCGCCCAACATGCAAGAGTATTAATTAATGGCCCTTTCTGCTTGGGCCAGCATTACGACTCAATTGTCACTTGTTGGAAGCCTCATTGCTGAGAGCCCTTCAAATTCTTTTTTTTGGTGGAAAGGTGATTTTTCATTGAAACAACAATCCAACTACAGACCACCACACAAAAGGAGACAAAGCCTCACAGTACAAAGAATGAAAAAGAAAAGGCATGACAAGACTCGATAGAGACCAGCATGAAGCTTTTCCCCACTCAGTCTACGACCTTACAAAGAGTTGCTAGGAGGGCACGGTAGCCCATCGGAGACCAAGACATGAATAAGAGACTGCGGTGGCCGGTAGGCCCAACTTTCCAGTTCCACATACCCAAAACCTAGTGACGCTGCTGTGTGGTCAACACGATTTGCATTCCTAGAAACCCACCTCCATCGGACCTCATGAAAGTTATGGCAGAGACTTTGAATATCTTCCAAGAGGGGCAGAATACTCTAGGCTTGGTTACTTGCACTACCTTTTACACCATCGACAAGAACTTTAGAATCAGTTTCCATCACAATGTCCAAGTAACCGCATTGGGAAGCAAGTTAGAGACCCTTGATCGTAGCCGCCGCTTCAGCTTGGAGAGCAGAATTACACCAGTAGGGATAGACCAACACCACACAAAAGAGGCCATCAGAATTCCTAATCACAATGCCCAACCCTTGTTGGGACCTTGGGCTTGGGCACGCTTCTAAATAACTACTCCTGCCGAACCTGCATGGTTTGCTCAAGACCTTCTTGTAGCTGGGCCGAATCTGACTGTTGGTCGTAGAGCTGCCTTTGAGTGTTGTTGAGTTTGAAAGAGATGATATTGTTGTGCTTCTGCATCTTCGCCATTTCTTGTTATAGGGCTTCCATTCGAGCCTTGAGAGTGTTTTGCCGAATGGGCATCTCCGTTTGAGGCATGTCGAGCGGGGGAGTGGGGGTCGCTCTGCTAGCGAGGCCAATGACAGGGCCATCGACAAAAAGGGATGAAAGTGGATTCATTTTCGCTCAAGAGAGATATAGGCCGATTAATAATCGCTTCCCATAGACGGTGCCAATCTGTTGTTGCTAAAACTAAATAGATAGTGATAAGAGAAACTTACAGGTGACGTGGACGATCAAGGGACCAGATATGCCTTCGGTAAGCACGTTCCTCTTCGGTTGGCGATGCAGGATCTGGGCCAAAGAGAGAAAATAGTAGATGAAACCTAAGGCACAAGTGTAGTACCGGCCGAAAGCCCTCCAATGTTAAGGTTAGTTTAAGAAAAGGAGAGCAATCTATTGACAATGTAAGAGCATAAGTGTCAAGTCAAAAGTCTTACCATGTATCTGGGGTGAGAGACTCTATTTATAGAGGGTGCTGGATGTTCTCTTGGTACTTAGTTTTGATGTGGGACTCGTGGGAGTGCCTTCTGGGGTTGACACGAGTCTCAGCAAATATCCTAGCGGGGAATTCGAGAACGTCCTGCAAGATGCCTTCTAAAGCGTAGAATCGGTAAGGCATGCCGAACGCTCTTGTCTGCCGTGAACCAGTCAGTGAACAATCGATAAATGGAGCTGGAGGTGCCTGCCGTTTGTAGGACTTGACTTGCCAGCATGGGTTACAAGGCCATATTGGGCGTAGAATCAGTCGTGGGTACCGAGGGGACCTATCGATTCGTACGACTGGGCTTGCCAGTGTTGGCCATGGCCTTCCTTAGTGTCATACCCTTTCCATATGTCATGGCGTGAGTGACAGGTCAAATATGGTACAAAGAAATCCCATAAAATTAAGTTTTCTTATTTGATGTGTAAGGAAAAAAAGCTGCCAAAATTTTTCTAGAGAAAATGATTATTCCGAAAAACCATTTTTCATACTTAGTCAATATTTTTACAAAATAATTTTTCATGTATGATATAAATGCATGAAGAGACATAATGTCAATCTAGGTAAAAAGCTTTATATATTCAATACACAGAGAGTTTTTAGCTTTTAAAAATTGCACATTTGTTAAAAAATTCCTGAGTCCGCCAGTGCCTCTTCCTACGTACATATTGTCAGAGCTCCAAGTGCCAAGATTGAGCATGGAAGGGACCCAAGACACATTTTGGACCCAAATGAATAACCCTTGGCTTCAAAACCTGACCCCCACGCCCAACCTTCTCAACTTCTAAATTCTAATGAATTAGTTTGATGTGTAGGGTAAAATAAAGTTTGGTCCTGTAGATAAATTTGGCTCACAGATTAGGGCGTTCTCTCATCACTCACTGAGAGATGCTTATAACTACTCTCAATGTTCCAAGTGTTTGCTGTTCTTGTTAAGGATTAACTTTTAGCTTTTTTGTTTTTGTTTTTTTTCTTTCATTCTTGGGTTTTTTTTTCCTCTTGAGAAAGAGCTATGAGTATCTTATCTATATATATAGATATACATTTTCAACCTCAGCTCAATGTATTTTTAAAGCCTCTTAATTATAGGTACAAAATTGGAAATTTTTGACAAAAAAAAGTTTTGAGTTGGGTGTCCAAATAACATTTTCCATCTTTATAAGCATTCAAAATCTAATCACTCCAAAGTGATTAATCTAATTCAATCCAATTTGGGCATAATTTCTATAATTTACCTTAAACACATTAAGATGGTTTTTTTTTTTTTTTTTTTTTTTTTTTTTTTTTTTTTTTACAATGATAATCTAAACTACAAGGTAATTGGGATTTCTCACACACGCACTACTAAGAGCAGTTCTATCGGTTTGGATTGTTAGGGCAAAAGGTCCCATGGGCTGCAAAAACACACTCAACCAATCAAATACAGTCCAGACAGAGGGTGGGCTCCACCAAGACTGGGCAAGCCATAAGGCAAGAATAGCCTGAGTTGTTGTCTAAGGGTGCTAACTCCAGCATGACGTCCATGAAGAAAAAAACCGAAAAAAAATCCAAGAAATTCATAATTTTTTTTAATTTTTTTTTATAAATACCTAGCAATTTTTTTATTATTAATCTCATACATATAAATAAAATTAATCTCATGTGAATGGTAATTGCCCTTGGGTTGTCAAGGTAATTGGTGAAAAAAAATTTACTATGGCAAATACTATTCATTTGAACAATAACCACCCTTACTTGTCCTTGCCTTTTGCCATGACAAATAGGTAGAAGTGCTCCAGGGTGCTATGGGGGTTTCGACAAAAAATAAAGGATATCATGGGGGTTCAAACGGAAGACCAGTAATATGTAAGTCAAAACCCTTTTTCATTAGACTGCACATTCTTGGCATGCATAAAGTTAAAAGAAAAGTTCATTATTATTTCATTTCTCAGAGTTACAATTATTCTCATAACTAGCCATCACATGATTTAGTGTCACAATAGTAGTGACACCAACCACCCAAAAAAAAAACACACATACACACACTATTGGGTACAAAAAATTTCAGGCAATTGAATAACATTGAGATCGGACCCAAAAGGCTTCTGGTTGTTGCCATAGCCAACTCCAAGCAAGTCACAGTACCTCTTATAAAACCCAATGCGATCCTCCACCTTAGCATTCCAGCCCTTACCACATTCAAGTCCACCGTTAATGATGTTTGTAGTGACCCCGTAACCGGTACCCGCTGACTTGTCGGCTCCAGACGGGTTCCATCTCCTGGTGATCACATCATGGCATGAGGGCTTGGGTGACTGAGGGGTCATCCAGAACCAGATGCTGTCTTGAATGAAATAACAGGGTCTGTAGCAACTAGGTCTGGGTTGGTCAACAGGTCCGCCCCTATTGCTTTTCCACACTGTCCATGGTTGTGGTTCCTATAGTCCAAATACACATAATTATTCTAGCTACATAATTCATGATAATATATTTTTTTATCATGATGTACCTATTTTGGATAGATGGACACATAGCTATATACAACCGGTTACATTTAAGATTTTCTGATAACTTATATAAATAATTTAATTAGATGTACTTACCAAGAAATTTGAAATTCGACCACGGCCATAGTACTGCTTACCAGCAGCACATGGGTAATTAGGATCCCAGGCACAATAAGATCCAGGGTTTTGTTCCTTGAGATAGCAATACCCCCAAGACTATGGTCCATCAGGTGCACTTGCCCAACCCCCTGGACATTTACATATAATCATCATGCAAAGTAAGTAATTTAGTTGAGACAAATAAAATAAATGAATCGGATTGCAAAAATATAAAGGGTAGTTAATTAGAGTGTTACATATAGTTTGTATGAAATGAAAATGGTAGCAAATTGTATCAAAAAATTGACACTGGTTACTAATTTGGGATAAATCAATTTGAACAACAAATTAAAACCAATTTCTAGAGGAAGGTTACAAAACATTTTAGCCCATGAAGAACAAATCAAGACAGTATAACCCATTTGATAACAAAATCAAAATGAGATTTACCAATACTAGACGACCATGACACCAGTATAATGGTATAATGGTGGCGTTACTGTAACGGTGGAGAAGTGAATGGTATGACGACGGTGTTAGTGTGACGGTGGAGGAAACGATATTATGAAGGAGGCGTTGCTATGTTCGGTGGAGGAGTCGTCGACGTCGGTGGAGGCGTTGCTATGTTTGTTCATTTTATATTAGAGTAAATTAGTAATTCAATAAATAATTTGATAATATGGTGTACTTAGATAATATTAGGGTTCGTTTAACAGCACTCTAAATCAATCCCTAGTATATATTTCTGATATGGTAAATTGGTAAGAAATGTTTTTTAACTAATTGAATTACTGCCCTGTAGTTTCATGTGAAGGTTGGGCTAAGAAATCAGCAATTTCCCTTTTTTGGGCGGCAGCATCTCCAGTTTTAGCAAAGTTAGGGAAGGACTTGGCAGCTGCAATGAAAGCATCATAGGTATAAAACCCCTTAGCTGGGCAACCACCATCATTCCTATGCTTAAGCATCTGATTAAAGGTGTTACGTGACACAAGGCTACCAATGTCACCGTCACCACCACCGCTGCCACATTGGCTTTGGCAACCAGTGCTGCAGTAATCAGGTGCAGTGCCACACCACCCATACTTGCTGCAGCATTGCCCTCCTGGACACAGAGCACCCCCTGCTTGCCTCCCACACTGCTCTGCTGTGCCTCCTTGGATGGAGGACAACAACAACAGAGAAACAAATGCCAAAAGAAAGCACCACATTGTTGTGTCAATTCGTTTGTGATATTTGGTTGAGTTTTTGAAAGGATCAGTGGATGCATGGGTGTATATATAGGTTGGAGGAATAGAGGAATTAAGAGACTTTTTTCTTCTTTTCTTTTTGGGTAGTTTCATGAATTATCTGTGTCTTTTCGTGCATTAAGTTAATATTGGTGGGAAGAACAGATTTTCTGATCTTATCTAGTAAATCATCAGGTCTCAAAGAAAGGTTAAAAAAAAAAAAAAAAAAAAATAAAAAAAATGGGGCGGCTGTTGGTGCATTTTTTTTAACTTCATGTTCATGAATGCTAGTGAAGGATATATCCAGTGCTAATTGACATCCATGTCTCTGTGTACAAAAAATGCTTCATGTTTTCTAAAATGTTTGGTTGAAACTTGAAATAGACAAAATCTCCTTTTGGAAAACATTGATTGAAACCAACATTTTAATTTTACTTGAAACATTGTCAAATAAACCTTATATTTAGGGTATTTGACATCAATATATAACGAGCGGACAAATAAAATGCGATTAGGTCAAGTGATAAAGGCGGATTATGTTAAAAGTTCCTTTTCCTTCTATTCCATTGTAACAATAATTAATAAATAAAAAACTTTTTGGTTATATAAACAACTCTTAATCCTGCTTAGTCCATGTCTTAAATAAACTCTTCATTTAAGTGGGCTAAAATAAGTCCAGCTAGTGAGCCTTTAATCCTACTTAGTCCAGGTCTTAAATAAATAAATCCTTGTTTGATGCAAGACATGATTAGTAAAAGGGTGTTTGGAGAGAACTTTAATGATAATGAATTGATGTCCAAAACGAACGTGTGAATTATTGTATTATCCTTATCTTGGACACAACTTAGGACTATGAAAATGACTTCGTGCTTGTCTTCTTGCAAATAAATTGTATGTTTGTTTCTAATTAAGCAAAATTAAGGAACGTGATTTCATTTTGTCTTGGCTGACAGAAATCAAATAATCTTTTGACCTTTTCCATCTCAATTGCAATTTCCGGCTTAGGATCCTTGTCAACCCAATATTTGCATAGCTCCTTTTGAATTTCCATGTCTTTGATTTAGAGTGTAATTTGCAAAGACAAAAGGGGGCAAACAATAACATTTGTTTATTTATACGAGCAATAAAGGGAGAGAGGGGATTCAAACTTAAAACTTCGGGTGCAAAATAACTGTTATTAATCACTTGAGGTACAAGTCTTTTAGGGACAAACAATGGCATTAAAGAAGTATAAAATAAGCTTCAAGGTTGGAAATGAAGAAACACTAGTGTGCAACGGGGATATCATTGTTTTTCTATCCCTGACTAATCACGTTATGCCACGCGTGATAATTTTTCCACTTGGCATAGTGTGATTGGCCGGAGATAGCAAAATAGTATTATCCTCGTTTCATATAATTTTTTCTATTGGAAATGCCCCATCTCCCACCCCCAATATCATAATGAGTGACATCATTTATTAAGCATATGATTTGGCATATACTTGGGAATCATTCCATATCATACCTATATTCTCTAACAAAATCACAAATTCTCACTTGGGTTTTGAGTGGATTTGGGCTTTCTTTATCAAGATGAACTGTCAATAGTGTTTAAAACCATTTGAACCTTGGTTTGGCCCATTTCATGGAGGTTCACCATATTTTTTTGAAGATGGTTTGCTTGTTAAAATCTTCAAACCCCTAAGGTTGATTGTTGTGCAAGAGGCAGACAAAAACAACAAAGATGAGTATAGTATGCGTTTTCCATGATGTGGAGGAACATCACGAGATTGGTAATTGATTCTATTGTCCCTGCAACAGAAAACTAGCCAGCACTGTTTCCATTGCTTAACACGTATATAATCACTGTTCATATTTTAATGTAAATGCCATTCAACTTTGGTGAGTGAATGTGCATGTGATAATTTTTCTCAACACAAGAAGAATCTTGACAGCTCTGAACTCTGATATTAAATCTTGATGATTATTAACTTAATAGATTGTATCAATTTGATATCAAAAGATGTATTTGTAGTATACACATGTATGTTTTTCAAGTACAGAATCGAAAAAGCTAATAGCTCTCTAGTGGTTAAGGATGTTGAGGAGGGAGACTCTTGTTTTGATCAATTGCCTAAATAGGCACTCAACTCCTTCTTCTTGGTCTTGAATGCATGACTCCAGCTTCTCGAGCTGGTTCTGCGCATTTTCGACACTTTTGTTTTGAGTTTTGCTTGTCTTGTGTCCAATGAGTGAGTTCAATGCAGCATCCCCTTGTGCAAATTCATTGGCTTCTGTTTCTTCCTCACAAGCAACTTTTTTGGAGTGCATCATCTTGGAGACCAATGACCAGCTGCTTGGCTGTGATTTTGGTCCAGAGATGAAGGACAGCAGTGACTCAAACACTGCAAGAGTGACTGCTTCAACTTCTCTGAACTTGTTAACAATGGCAATAGACTCATTGTCCTGGTTTGGGGAAGAGAAGGTGGATCTGTTGATTCCCTTTAGATTCTTCATAGCCTTTTGGATTATCTTTTTCACCATCTTCCTGGAGGTTAAGTATTTCCCAACCTCACTGGTGAGTGCTCCAGATTCACCTCCTCGTGTTCTTCGTATGATCGATTGAAGATCCTGTACGCATTCCTTGGTTTGCAAGATAGCATCCTTGGCGCTGCTGCAACCATCCAAGAGCCTGAGAGAGCCATCTAATAGCTCATTAGTCCATTTCTCATTCTGCTCTTTGGCCAAGGCTTGTTGTGTGAGTGGCAACTGAAGCAACTTATCAACACAATCATGCAAGTCTTGGAGGCCACTTAGTTTGTGGCATATTGATGATGAAGATGTGGAGGCGAAGACCTCAGTCTACACAAATGTTCGTCAACTTCTTGAATGATCGGGTGTGGCCTTGAAGGGAAGCTGTTAGAGCGAGTGTGGAAAGCCATTTCTTCTTTGTGTGTTGTGAGAAGATAGAAGAGAAGACTTAGAAACTTTTGATTGATGTACAATTCAGAGTGGTTAATATATAGTGTTGATTGAAGAGGGGGACATGGAATCTCATCCACTTCAATCATCAGTGAGAGGTAACATGATTTCGATTTGCATCTATATGTTCCCTAAGCAATGTTTATGCAGTGTCCCTTCCCGCCCCATCATTCCAACTCATGAATTGATTAATTTAGCACATTAAAATGCTACAACCACTTAATCAATCATAATTAATATACGATACCACGAGTGGCGTTGATGTCCCTGTTTACACAAATACGTAGAAAGGCAAAAACCATTTAACTCAATTATGCTGATCAACGCATATGATTAGTTTAATTCATCTTGTTTTGCAGGTCCTTCATTCACATGATTGTTTCCCAAGGAGGAGGCATGATCTGCAAATATGCAATATTCTGCATTAAAATTTCACCATCCATTGTGTTTCTATAATGTTGAAAAAGGGTGAGTTGCTGGTTAATTAGCAAACAGAAAGAAAAGCAGCATAATTTTCATTATAATCAGAAGGGTGTGAGATCTGAGTCTGCCATGTTTATGTTTACTTCAATCTGTGTTTACTGTTTCCTGGGAGAAAATTGTTTATGTCAATGTTTGAACTGATGTTACTATTTTTCACCAACCAGTGTTACCAATAGCAAGGTCTTGAGGATCCTCTAGCATCCACAAGAATCGTTGTAAACAAAATCAAGCAACACTATAAACTTTCTTTTAGTCTCCTTTGAATGTGAAGTGTTTATTATTGGTTATCTTCCTTGAGAGATAGAATCTTCAACACTCAAACTCCCTAAATCGCCACTTAAAAGTATATACGAAATTCTGAGCTTATTCAAGATCTGATCTTAAGAGGCAAAGCGAGTGCAACTTGTCCCACATTGCTTGGTTCGTATCACACACTACGCTTTATAAACCCTGCACGAGGTATCTGTACCGCCGAGCTTCGTAACGCAAGCTTGTAACCCTAGTGGGGGCTTTGAGGTGCTGGAACATTGGCTTAGTATTAGCGGGTCGGGTTCGGGTTGGCTATCTACTGGTCCGCCCATTCCAAGCCAGGAGTTGAACCCTGTGGCTCGAGCGAAGGCTCTGGGTCACTTGGTTTCTAGAGCGGAGGGAACCGCGGAAGGCTGGCTTCACAGAGCAACGACTACCTCCCGCTCTTGGCAGTGGAAGGATAACGGGTCGGTGGTCACTGGGATCCATCATGGCTCGCTAGACTGTCCCAATTGAACCAAAACCTTTTTTTAGCTCTTGGCTGAGGCGTGTGAGATTCAAGTCCTTGTTTTTTTTGCTCTGAGTTTTACCTCAGGTTTGACTTAAGAGTTAATTCATCTTCTCTTGTAATTAGACCAAGTATAGATGATAGACGATAAGAGATGGAAATGGTAGAATTTTTGTTTCAACAGTTCCAAAAACGAATGCGAATGATAATAATTGACAATTAAGCAAATGAGTAATCATTTTGTATAATCAATTTGATATCCAGAGGATGGTCTGTCATACACATGTATGTTTTTCATGTACAAAATCGAAAAAGCTAATATATATATCTAGTCGTTTAGGATGTTGAGGAGGGTGACTCTTGTTTTAATCATCTGCCTAAATAAGCAGTGAAGTTGTTCTTCCTGAACTTGAATGCATGACTCCAGATTGTCGAGCTGGTTGTCTGCATTCTTGTGGTCAGATTTGCTTGTCTTAATGAGTGATTGCAGAGCCGCATCCACTTGGGCAAATTCATTTGCTTCTGTTTCTTCCTCACAAGCTACTCTTTTGGTGTGAATAATCTTGGCAACCAATAACCAGCTGCTGCTTGGCCTTGAATTTGGACCAGAGATGAAGGACAGGAGTGATTCGAACACTGAGAGAGTGACTGCCTCGATATCTCTCAACGTGCTAACAACGGCAATAGTCTCATTGTCCTTGCTGAGGGATGAGAAACTGGATCCCTTGAGATTTATCATAGCCTTGTGGATTGCCTTCTTCACCAATCTTCCTTGAGGTCAAGTATTTCCTGACCTCAGTGAGTGCTCCAGATTCACCTCCTCGCGTTCTTCGCATGATCAATTGAAGGCCCTGTACGCATTCCTATCCTTGGCACTGCTACAAACATCCAAGAGCCTGAGAGAACCATCTAATAGCTCATTAGTCGATTTCTCATTCTGCTCTTGGGCCAAGGCTTGTTGAGTGAGGGGCAACTGAAACAACCTATCAACACAACTATGCAAGTCTTGAAGGCCAATTAGTTTGTGGCTGATTGATGTGGAGGATGTGGAGGTGGCGTCAGAAGATCTCAATCTACACAAATGTTCATCAACTTCTTGAACGATCGGGTGTCGCCTTGAGGTGAAGCTGTTGGAGCGAGTGTGGAAAGCCATTTCTTCTTGTTGAGTATTGTGAGAAGATAGAATAGAAGACCTTGAAAGAAGTGGTTAATGTTATATCTTTTCCATGTGTTTGCTTAATATATAGTGTTGGTTGAGGAGGGGGACATGGAATCTCATCCTCTTCAATCATATCAGTGAGAAGGGTAACATGATTTGAATTGGATCCCAATTCATGAACTCATTAATTTAGCTCATAACTAACATATTGGACAGAGTTATATAAACTAATATGCTTAACCCTAATGCATAAACTCAATTATATGCTGATAAATTTATGTGATTAGAAAGTTCATATTATTTTTCAGGTCCTTGGCATGATTGTTAAGCACGTAGCAGGCAAGATTTGCAATCTATATTGTTCAATGAAAATCATGTGCAATTGCGTTTTGCTTCCATGATGTTGAAAAATGGTTTGTAGCTAGCAGACTTTATGAATTGGACTGCTCCCCAAACATTTTATTTTGAATTAATAAGCACAGCAAAAGTGGATTGGCTGCCTACTGTGGTTGGAGAGATTGACGGAAGCAAATGTATAGGTTTTGAATTAAATCTGAACAGGTCAATGGAAATCACAGAAAACTAAAACAGGTGGCGGTCAAGTGAAGAGCGTACCTAGGCCTAGCGTGATCGACAGCTGCTCTGATAAGCCACCATGATTGCTAGGACTGTAGGGTAGCCTGCGAGAAACCGTGCCGAGAGCATTGTGCCGTAGGTTGTCCATGTCTTAACGCTAATTTCCAAATTCCACCATTAATGCCCTCATGTTGGGTCACATGCTCATATTACTAAGTTCTGCTATAAAAGTTTTAGGAGTTAACAATATTAAGTACATAACACGTATTACACTTTTCCAATGTGGGATCTACAGTTTTTTCAAGAGAAGAGGAAAAGGAATAAAACTCTATTACGAGCGATTCGGTAATTTTCTTGTATAGAATTAAAGGCCTTTGGAGAATTTATTGTGTATGCTTCGTGCAAATATATATACATCACAACCGTATGGCCGAGTTTAGACATCCTTCTTGGTATAATGTTTACTGCTCAAAGCGTGTGGGAGTCAAATACTCCTTTGAATGCTATTAGACATTAGTTGTTGATTATATTCATCTCCCTTGAGATATTTGATTTGCTTGCAAAAATCCCATGTGATCTCAATCATAATTTCAGAAACTCCTTTGAATTTTTTGAGATTATCCCACGTGAGGATGAAACTTTTGCATTAATAGTTTAAATATTCTTGGCCTCTACAAATCTGTTAGGAAGATGTTCTCTGAATTAACCTTAACTGACGCCATGGCCCATGGATTGGAACATTTACAAAGCAAAATTGTGCATGAATTTGATATCAGATAGATGATGTATTTGCATGCAAGGTATGTTATTTTATGTTCAAAATCGAAAAAGCTAAAAAACAAAAAAAAGAGGAATTGGGTTGGCATCGTGGGTTATGGGAGGAGGGAGGTAAAAAGGTGGTGGTCAGTGGTCAAGTAAAGAGCGGATCTCAGTCGGCCCAGAGTGAGATTAGATGCCGTTATGTCTGCCACAGCTGCTCTGATAAGTCAACTGCCTTTCCACAATGCTGTCAACCAGCCAACTGAGATTAGCCGTCAACTTGGGAGCCAAATACGTGGCCCCTCAACATCTTTGTAGAAGCCTACTATAACCATAGGGGCAAACACCGACACTGGACCTGTTGTCTGCGTCTTAACAAGACCTTCCCACATTCCACCTTTAATGCCCCCATGTTGGGTCACAAGCCCGCATTACTAGGCTCGGCAATCAAAATTTTAAGAGTTAGCAATATTAAGTAGTTAACAAATGTTATGTTTTTTCAATGTGGGATTTACTGTGTTTTTTTTCAAGATAGAAGGAGAAAAGGACTATATTTATTACAAAGCAATCTTCCTTCCTCATTGGTTAACAGTCTTCCAATAGAAGGGGAACATGCCAAATTGTATCATGTTTGTCATTCCAACAGAAGGAAGCCCTAGCCTTAAGGTTCATCCAAAGGTCCAAAATTTCTCTTGGTATTATGTTTTCTACTGAAAGTTGTTGATTATTTATGAGTGGTTGTATGTGACTTTTGGACACCAATGACCAGCTGCTTGTCTGTGACTTTGGCCCGAGATGAAGGAAGAAAGTGATTCAAACACTGGAAGAGTGACTACTTCTACTTTCTCTCAACTTGCTAACAATGGCAATGGTCTCATGACCCTAGTTGAGGAAAGAGAAAGTTGATCTGTTTTCTATTGCCTTGAGATTCTTCATAGCCTTGTGGATTGTCTTTTTCACCATGTTCCTCGAGGTCAAGTATTTGTTAACCTCACTTGTGACTCCAGTTTCTCACCTCCATCCCCGCCTTCTTTGTAGGATTGATTGAAGTTCTTGTGCAATTGATGATGAAGATGTGGAGGTGGCCTCAGAAGATCTCAATCTGCACAAGAGTTCATCAACTTCTTGAAGGACCAGGTGTGGCCTAGACGGGAAGTTGTTAGAGCGCGTGTGGAAAGCCATTTCTTGTTTGTGTGTTGCGAGAGGATAGAGAAGAAGACCTTGTAGTTAATGCACAATTGAGATTGATGTGTTCCTTTCCATATGCATCTACTTAATATATAGTGTTGGTTGAGGCAGGGGACCCGTACAACTCATGAGCTGATTCATTTTGCATATAAAATCCCATTTCACCCTAATCGTTAGGAGTAGGCGCCAGGGAGTTAGGCAGCACCTGGGCAAGTCTGGGGGCCTGGGTGGGTCGGGTGGCTGCTTCTCTACTCTTCTTGACCCAATCAATAGCAGTGACAGCTTCTTTTCTACTTGTCAGAGGTATCTTTGAATTTTTCTTCTTTTCTTTATAGCTATTGCTAGACTCATCTTATTTCAAAGGTGCGAAAGAGGAGATGATGGAGGCAGAGAAAGAGGAGAGACGATGGAGGTAGAGAGAGATGGGAGGTGATGGAGGCAGAGAGATGAGGGATGAGCAAGGATAGGGTTCGTCCGAAAAAAGTGAAGATAGGGTTAGTGAAACGCTGTGTTTCACTTATGGGCTGGTATTTTAACAAGGTTCTCTTATGAGCTTGGACCCATATACTAAAACATAACCTATTTGTGTTTTTATTTCAACCCTCTGCTTTATATCAAAGCATATATCATGACTCATATATATACATTTTTGTAATAATTTTGGTATAAATTTATAATTTACAGTACAAAATAATTAAAGAAAAAAAGAAATGCCTAGGCGCCCACTTAGGCACTGATTACTCCTCCGGGCTAGGCCCCTGCCTACCGCCTAGCGATTTTTCAAACATTGGTATTAATTTTCCCAAAAATCTTATGAGAACAAAAAAATACTGTAATATTGAAATAAATTGTAGAGAGGAAATTATTTATTGAGTATCCGAGAAAATATATTGTAAGCATTGTTCATGTACAAGCATGAGCCAAGTCAATTTTGGATGAATCATCCATAACTAAGTTAACATCCTAAGCTAGTGGTTGAGGATGTTGAGGAAGGAAACTCTGGTTTTGATCAAAGGCCTTGAAAGGTGTTCAGGTGACTCTTCTAGATCTTATTGGCACAACTCCAAATTTTGCAGTTGGTTTTGTGTGTTCTCAATGATGTTATCAGATTTTGCTGTCTTATGACCAAAAATGAGTTGATAGCTCCATCCATATTTGCAAATTCATTTGCATCTATTTCTTCTTCCTTATGGTGCCTGATGAGTATCTTGTTAATGCAAGTAAGCTTATTGTCTGGAACGCGTTGTATGATAAAGCAACATGCATTTCATCTAGGAAAAAAGAACATGAAAATGCCAATGTTCGAAAAATCGCTAGGCGGTAGGCCGGTAGTAGGCGGCAGGCCGGTAGCAGGCAGGGCCTAGCGCCTATAGGAGTAATAAGAGCCTAGACGTTTCTCTTTATTATTATTATTATTATTATTATTTATAATTCTTTTGTATTATAAATTATAAATGTATACCAATATCATGCAAAATAAAATGATATATAAATTAGAGGCCTAAATTAGAAAGTACCATAATTGATATAAAACATGGGGAAAAAGTTAAGCATAAAGCATATAATAATACTCTATTATTCAATTAACATATTTAGTTAAAAATATAACATTGCAATTTTTGGGTATAGACCGAAAGGGCTTTTGTTTGTTGGGCCCATAACTCCGACCCACCAATACGATACGTATAGCTTAATAACTCCTACCCAACAAAACAACGTGTACAGCGTATTCCATTAGGTCATCTTCTTCGCGTTTACCACCTGGTGCTGCCGCCCTGCAAGCTCGTGGAACAGATCCAGCCAAATCTTCTTCGCTTAATTTATCACATGGTGCCGCCTAAATCTCTCGGAAATGAAGGACTGCCCAGGCACCCCGACCCCCCCAGGCCACTCCTAGGCACCGCCTAGGCGGCCGCCAAGGCCGATTTTTCGAACACTAGCAGCATGTGCATGTGTATGATATTAAAAAACCAGTTGGTGGGAAATGGAAGGTGATGAATGATTCTGACACAGACAATGTACCACATAATGAATATAAATTAATGCAAAAATATTTCCTGGCAGAGTGATACAGAACTCATCACAGGGGATGGGAGGCTGAGCTGGAATGCTGGATAGAAAAGCTAGCTAGCTATTCCGTTTCATCAGGGCCGGTCCTGAGATTTTCAAGGCCCGGAGCAATGCTGAAAATAGACCCTATATATATATGTATACCACACAGGAAAAATATATGTGGATGTAGAATATTATAAAATGAGATCTACATAATATCATTTATTTTATATATATCTCTATATAAGAAAGGATCGAAGACAAAAAAGAAATTGATGAGAGATGTATCTCTACATAATATTATAATGTGAGATGTACCTATGTGGTTTTTTATATGTATCTCTACATAATATTATAAAATGAGAGATGTATATAAAAGCATTGGAGTACTAAAAAGAACCTGCTTATTTTATATACAT